AAGTCAATTTCAACCTTAAAGCTCCAAAACGTAGGCAACTCGCATTTCGTGTTCTTCCCACAACCAGTAATGTCCGCATTTTCTGCGAAGCAGCCTCATGGTGTAGGTGACAGGCTTGCAGCGGACATCACATTTACTGCATGTGGCATAGCTCAAAAACCTCGGCACGGTGTCCACGAAATCTTTTACTTCCATCTTGAATGGACATCTTCCAGTGTAAGCTGATCTTTTACTGTTCTCCTTAAATTTTACAATTTCAGTTGGAGGGTTGGACTGGGGAACAATCATGTAACCACGACGACGAATGAATCGGAGAATGTCATTTGAAGATGTTCCAGTAGAAGCCGGCATCTGAAGACAACGTGCTAAACTGGTCCAGTCTCGACCGCAAGGCAAACTCTTTGCGATCAGACACAGAGACAGCAGTGTCAAGGCCTAGAAAATTTCAAGATGATAGTTGTGAATACATTGTTTTACCATCTAAGCTTCTATGGCTCGTGTTTGTGTGATAGTACCGCTCAATGAGGTGCATGCCTAACGCGTTCCTATTCAGTAAGGTGAAATGTATTTCTTTCTTAGGTTGTTTTGTATTTTTTCATATTGTGATAATCAGACCTTTATATACCGCTCCTTGTGAGTATCACACCACTTGATGTCGAACAGTTTACTCGAGGCTGTTTTTTTTTCTTCCATATTATAAATGTCGTTGTGTAAAATAGCGTGCGACATTTTCTTTCTCTGGCTGGTAACCGGTATTTAGCATGTCTCAGATTTTCGTTAATAAACTCGATTGCTAGCGGCTCTTTCTTCTATTTGTTGTATTATTTGTCTCCTTTACTTGTAATAGAAATGTTTTCTATTCGGCTGAGCGAAGCCAAAGAGAATAGAATTCAGGGTTATTTAAACTTAAATCTAGACACACACTACTTAATGATAAGGTAAGGTAAAATGAGGTAAGATGAGAAGAGATGGAATGGGATGGAATGAGCTGAGATGAGATGAGATGAGATGAGATGAAATGAGATG